ACACTGCTGTGTCTTCACCTAGACAGCGACCCTCAGCTCCCTCAAAACAACTACCATCCTGCTACCGTTGTGGTCAGCATCATATCCGGTGGTCAGACTGTAGACACCAGAAGACGGTATGCCAGTTTTGCAAGAAAGTCGGTCACATCGAACGAGTGTGTTTCTACAAAAGTCGAGCGAATACTAACACGCATGTAACCTACCCTAATCCAGCTGGGGATGGCGAGGCGATACTCCGAATGTTTTCGGCCAACGCGCCACTCCAATCGCCCTACACCATCACGCTTCCGGTTGATCACCATCCCGTGAAGTTTGAAATCGACACTGGCTCAGCTGTTACTCTCATCAATGAGGCCTCCTTTCAGAAATTACCCTCCCTCCTACCGGCTAACTCAACATTCCGTAGTTACACTGGACAGAACGTAGAGGTTCGAGGGGTCTTTACAGCCGAAGTCGAGCATGATGGAGAACTTCATTACTTGCCGGTTCATGTGGTGAGAGGAAGCCAGGAACCAAATCTCCTTGGACGGAATTGGATTAAATGTGTGCCTTTTGTGCTATCCTATGTACATCGGATTGGTGTAAATCCGGCTTTGGATTTAATTTTGGTAAATCACAAGGATCTATTTCGTGACGATTCTGCTACCCACTATCGCGGTCCACCTGTTAAGTTCCAGTTTCAGTCAGATTTCCGCCCCGGTTCTTCAAAGCTCGTGCAGTCCCCTATGCAGTCGCACCGAAGGTCGAAGAAGAGCTGGATCGCCTACAAAAAGTGTATATTATTGAGCCTGTGCAATATTCGGAATGGGCAGCCCCAATAGTTCCTGTTCATAAATCCGATGGTTCTGTGCGTATCTGTGGCGACTACAAGCTGACAATCAACTCAGCAACTAAACTGAACCCTTATCCTCTCCCGCGCATCGAGGATCTGTACGTATTTCTCTCGGGTAGTCATCAGTTTTCAACTTTGGACCTAAAGCATGCCTACAACCAAGTCGTCCTAGATACCTAATCCGAGGCGCCACCACCATCAATACGCATCGGGGTTTATTTCGATATAAAAGACTACCGTTTGGAGTAAGTTCGGCTCCCGGTTTATTTCAATGCTTGATTGATAACCTCGTGAAGGATATACCTCACGTTTGCGCATATCTTGACGATATATTAGTCACCGGCCCATCTGAAGTTAGTCATTTAGAGACTCTAAACATCGTGTTAGGACGTTTAGAGGACGCAGGTTTTAAACTCAGGAAAGATAAGTGCACTTTCCTTGCCGACTCGGTAGAATACCTGGGCTTCCGGGTGGATAAAACTGGCCTCCATCCACTCGAACATAAGCTCAAAGCCTTGAAGACGGCGCCGCGCCCCAACAATACTAGTCAATTGCGTTCATTCCTGGGGTTGGTCACCCACTTTAGTCGCTTTATGAATCAATCGGCTACAATTCTAAAGCCTCTTAATCGACTACTTGAAAAGAATCGTTGTTGGCACTGGTCGGAGGTCGAACAAAGTGCTTTGGAACAAGCAAAGGCGGCTCTTACCTCCTCATCTGTCCTAGTTCACTATGACCCCGAAAAGCCTACCATACTGAAATGCGATGCGTCTCCATACGGCGTAGGTGCGGTTCTCATGCATCGAATGCCTTCTGGCGCGGAGATGCCGACTGCCTTTGCATCAAGAACCATGTCACAGGCGGAAACCAACTATTCGCAACTAGATGAAGAGGCCTTAACAATAATGTTTGGCCTATATCGCTTCCACCTGTATCTTTTTGGCCGACCCTTTGAGATTCACACTGATCACAAACCCCTCTTAGGTTTGCTGGGAGAAAAACGAGGGATACAACAGACGTCCTCGCCGAGAATGCAACGATGGGCACTCACTTTGTCTGCTTACACGTATGCAATGAAGTACATTACAGGTAGTTCAAACGTTGTGGCTGACGCCTTGAGTAGGTTGCCTATTGTAGACGATGGCATTAACGGGGCACCTGTTTTTGAGACGGTGAATATTTTGCAGAACCTAGTCAACTCACCTGTAACCTGTCAACAAATTCGACAGTGGACATCGAGAGACCCTCTCCTAAGTCGGGTAAGAAGAGCCTTGCAATCTGGCTGGCCGTTTTCTACCTCCTCTGATTTTCAACCATTCTTCAGCCGTCAGAACGAGTTAAGTCTACAAGACGGGTCCATACTATGGGGCAGTCGTGTAGTTGTGCCACCACAAGGCCGACGGGCCATCCTCAGAGACCTGCATAATGCTCATCCTGGTACAGTTAGAATGAAAGCTCTCGCCCGCAGTTATGTTTGGTGACCCAAAATTGACGCAGATATAGAAAACGTGGTGAAAGCATGTGACGTGTGCCAAATAACACAGAAGACCTTACCGAAGGTTCCTCTGAAGCCTTGGGCCTGGCCCCACTCGCCGTGGAAGAGGGTACACGTCGATTATTTTGGGCCATTCCAAGGCCATATGGTTTTTGTGGTACTTGACGCCCACACGAAATGGATAGATGCGATTTCGACAGGAAATTCCTGTTCTTCACTGGCTACAATCAACAAGTTGCGAACCGTTTTTTCTACTTTTGGGATACCTGAAATGCTCGTTTCAGATAATGGTCCGGCCTTTACTGGTGCAGAATTCAAAGATTTCATGTAGAAAAATGGAATTAGACATTTAACTACTGCCCCATACCACGCTGCTTCAAATGGCCTCGCAGAGCGTGCATTTCAGACAATAAAGCACGGACTAGCCAGACAGACAGAAGCGGACATGGCCACCAAGTTGTCACGCTTTCTATTCAGCTATCGCATAACACCGAACGACTCAACCGGTGCTTCGCCTGCAGAATTAATGTTCAAGCGGCAATTGCGCACACGACTCGACCTGCTTAACCCATCAACGCAGGATTGAGTCATTACAAAACAGACGAAGCTGAAAGAACGATATGATGTGAACACCCGACCACGAGTCATCGCGCCTTACGAAAGTGTCTACACGCAACTGGAAAACGAAACGAACTGGTGTCCAGCGGTAGTTCGAACAAGCGAGGAGCAAATAGTGGAATTAGAGTTAGAAGATGGGAGAATTGTGCGTCGACATCTGGACCAAGTTCGAAGCCGAACTGACTCAGTAAGTAGAGAATTCGGAAAGGTCGAACTACCAGCAACCCTTGATAGGAATCCTGACATCCCGAGGACTGAACCCCTACTGCCTGCACAGAGCACTACGCCACCGACCGAGACGCATGTTCCACCTCCTTCTACCTCGGCCAGCACTAGCTTAGGGGCAGAGGAGCCAGTGACTGCACAAAGCGGCACATAGGTAGAAAATACCGCCCTGAGAAGGTCGACCCAAAACCGCAAACCTGCCCAACGCTTTCAGGACGAATCTTATTAGAACATTGTCTGACTATCCACTATTACCTTTACTGTTTCCCCCCGCCTCCCCCTCATGCTCTCCACTTTAGGGTGGAGGGATGCCGCGTATCCGGCTCGGGCCGTCAGGATATCATGCCACAAACGCGTGACAAGCGAACGACCAAGGTCATGGCCCCCTGTTTACACCTTCTTTGTGCTGATTGGCCACCCATTAGCCTAAGACAGTCCCCCTTGCCATATACCCGGCCGTTCTCACAAGCCTTCTCGCTTGTGCTGTCTATCGTACTCAGTACACGTCCTATTTCCAATTACCCTTCTGTTTTGCATACATAACATCTGGAATAAATCAGGGTGCCAGTGCGCGAAACGTTAAAGCTAGAGTAAATGTGAAATAGAAATAAAGAGCCACTTTCGAGTCGTCTAATCCATAAAAACTTAATGTTCGCCACCTGACATCTCTCGGTATAAGAAATGCCGGATGCAGCTTGAGAGAAAGGTTTTCGCGTAAAAAATCGGTGAACATTTTCGATTTTGTTCCAGCCACAGGTGTCCATTAAACCAAAGAAAGGACAGCAGTACTCAAGGGCGGGGAGAACAAACATTTGATACATTCTGGACAATATTTCTCGAAGGAAAATTATGTGATATGAACTCACATATATGCGCAGCTTTGGCAGAGAAGTTGTCTGCATGAGACATGCTTGTTAGCACAACTTTGTTACGACCCAGCTTGGTACAAAGAAATCACACGAAGCATATATGCACTCGACTATTGTCCCCAGTACCAACTCAGCAGAGAAGAAGAGCACGATCGGCCACGATAAAGTGCATTATAAACCCGCCAGCCATTGTCGCTGAAAGGTTGTGTGTATTTATAGCGTCCCGTCCAGGTTGACTAATATTCCGCCTGATCAGCTTCAAAAGAAAGTTCTGGAAGAGCTGAGCGGCTTATCGCAGACATGGACCAATCAGATTCTACAGGAACGCTGTAGTCACAGCCGACGCGAGACGCCATCAAGCGCGCGTTCATGACATACGACGTGATGGGCGCGAGCGCGCGTGCTTTTCTGTGAGATCGACTCCTCGTAGGAATAAGGACATTCCCAACAACCTTAGACTTTGGTCCTCTGTGGTGAAGCATTCTGAGAATGGACTAACTATGAAAAATTATGAGACCAGGAGGCTTGGTACGGCCAAATGACGTGAAACTACACTTGGACGAGGAAGACTCCATCTGCCGTGGTGAACTCCATTCCCATAAGCGTAGTACATCAGCATTAACTTTTCCAACACAAACACTTGCAAACCCGTTTGATGTCATCAGCACAAACAAATGTTCGCAAAGTTCTGATTTCTTTCCAAATATCACTAATGTGAAGAGGGAAGAGTAGCGGACCCAGAAGGGTGCCTTGAAATTCACCACTAGTGATCGAGTGAGATGTCGAGTACTTACCACCAACCACGATTTCCTCGTAGCGGTGGGATATATAGGGTCCGACGAAGTCAACTGAAGGAGGTCGGATGAAATCGTGGTCGACCAAAATGCAGCATGTTTCTCCACAGATCTTCTCGATTCACCGCGACCAGGGCTTTGTCGGATCCACGAAGACGATGTAAGAGTGGGCCCGCATCTCCTGGCGCTTCTTCTATAGCTGGTAAGCGGTAAAGATCATATCGCTGGTTGTCCAATGTTGCCGGAATCCAAACTGGCTTCCCAGCAAATGTCCTTGGTCTAGGTGGCTGCTGAGACGATTGAGGAGGATGGGGACGAAGATCAGCCCGGCGAGGTTGAGAAACGAGGTGTCCATGTTATTGTTACAGAGTTGCCGGTTCCCTTTACGCTCATATAGAAAGAAAATGGGTACGTCCCGGAAATCCTGAGAAGCTTGACCGCTGCGCAGTATCACATGAAATAGCGCCGTCAGTTGCTACATCAGTCGATGGTCGCAGTGCTTGTGAATTTTGGATGGGATCGCATCGGAACCAGGTACTTTCCTACTGTATAGTCTTTGCGCGGCGCTGATGGTTTCTGGGGAAGGGGGCAGACGATACAAGTCGATGCTGGCTTCCACTTGTGGGAGCCAAACGACAGCGGCGTCGGAGGTTGTGGAGGGAATGTTGAGGAAGCTTCTGAAGTGCTCGGCCCAACGATTCAGAATCTGCGGCTTCCCGCCAGTTATATAACGCAGCTAGGTCGTAGGCCTTGGGATTAATAATGGGCAAGAAGTGACCGATTTTGTCTTCAAAACCGGAATGGATAGAAAAAATAAGTGCAGGAGTTCTTATCCGATCCTATTTGTCATTGAAATTTTCGCGACTTTAACACCGCACTCTCAAAGTCCATTCGATATTGGAGCACTTCCTTTTGATCGGTAGCTGGAATAGTAGTATGTCCGTCCAGCTTACAAATTATGGGTTCATGAGCTACATGCATGCTCTCTTTACCGTTGTCTCTACCGCGCTGTCAACATAATCGTGAAGCCTCTCCATCGGATGCTCCCCTCGAGCCCGATCGACCCCTGTATTCGAATTGTCGACCAGCTCGTCTAGAATGTTCTTTCTGGAGGGCATTGTGCCGAATGCGTGCGAACCACAATAGGATGTTATAAATACGCATTACTTCTCCGGTTAAACTTGACTTGCAGTTTCGCAATACACATTTCCGTGACCGTTCGCGTTTTCCTTCTCTGCCGCATTGGTATTGGGAACAAGATTCGGGTACACATACGCTCCGCGTAACTTCTAAGTACCAGGCCGAGTCAAAACAACCAGAGACGACGCCACACATTAGAAAACCAACAAACGCACGATTCGTTTTCTTCTAACTAAAGATTGCTAGTTGGGCAGGAACGTCGTCCGACGAGAGGGCCAAGGATATTCATTTTGCAATGTGCCTCGATTGTCTCCACATGCTAAGCACATATGACATCTGGAGAATAAGTTTTGGTAAAGAAATTATGTTACCTTCAAGAGGTTTTTGCGCCCGTCCTGAAAACTCCAACCAGACAAGAAAATAGAATGTCGTTTCGGAATCTGCTGGGGGCGTTGGAGGGTCCCTGACTTATTTTAGGTGGAGGTTACCAGCTGCCGGGCCAGGTGATAGACTTCGTCTAGTTAAATGAATACGACTGGACGTTATTACTGAGCATGTACGCAGGCAATCTTCCACTCCAGACGCCTAAAAACCAAAACCATCAGAGCGATTTAGTTTGACTCGTCTTGAGAACGGCTGCCGTTGGTATGACGAGTTTCCACAGCTACAGGACGGGCCTTTTAAACAGATTGTTTGTCCTCGTTAAACATCACCGCCACCTCATATTTATAACCGACCACGTTTCATCAAAGGGGACCACTAACAAAAGCAGGGGTCAGTTATATTTCTGAAAGGTTTATTAGGACTGACCGAATTACAACTACAATTAAACATTCCAATATATAGATAAGAATTTGGCCGGACTGCGAAACTTCAAGCTCAAAGTCGGTGATGGACGACAGGAGGGCTACAGGAGAGCGACAGGTGATCGACAAGCAATGTGTCCGTTCGGTGACAAATGTTCAATCGTGTTTGTGAAATCAAGTCGAAAATTTGGCGTCCCTGTTTTGACTGATTTCTGGAAGTCCTGGGAAGAAAGTGAACAAAGTTGCTTTATTTATGTTTCCATTAATTCGAGCTTATTGTATTTTTACTTGCTTGGTATTTTCACGAGGAATCCAAAACTATCACAAACGATTGGCTATTTTTTGCCTACATAGTTGCTTTAATACTATTGGTCGTTATTAGGAACGGTTGGGGTCATACAGTTACTGGCTATATAAATAGGAAAAAGAATCGCACACGCCTCTATGACGTTAGGGACCCCTAGGTCGCAGTTCGTTGTATTGCTTTTTACCTCGGAAAGAGCATGCTGTCCAGAGCATAGCCTAAAACTTCGTGTGTCAACCCGCCCATATGGCGTGCCTTCGCAACCCTATCCGCCTCCTATTCAGCCCGAACACATCAAGCGTTGCACACCCACCCTTCGACGATTTTCGGTTGTCGATCGATAGGTTAACTGACCATCTGTTTGGACGGTCCCGCATACGGACCGAACCGTCTGATAATTCCATCCGTCGCATGTTCAGGATTTAGGCGGTTAAAGTGAACCGTAACTTCAGTAAAGTACGACTATGACAAGGACGAATCTGCTTTCTGTATCGAAATTATCATCGAAGCTGACAATGAGGATGATTTCGTAGGGCAGTTTTACTGCTATCAGTTGCTCTGCTCGAGCCTGTGAACCTCATTTATGAGTTATTATCTGAAAACACACGTGTATAGCTGCCGTCGTCAGTCGTGGAATCTTTAAGCTAAGAATGTGTAAAGTCGCCTACAGGCACTGACAACGGTGAAACTTATCCACCAACCACGTTTCCTCCTCCAGATATTCAGTCGATGATCGACCTCATTGTGTAGTTGAATTTCGTACCTTGTTCTATCCGCTGCACGACATGAGGCAAGTTGCCAAGTTTCCTTAAATAATCGATATCTTACTAACAAATCAGTCACATCCCCATTATCGAAGAGTCATTCAGTTAAAGGCCGAGAATCGAAAATTTGTGGTAAATAACCGCTTGACGGAGGGAGTTTAAGCGGAAAAAATGGAGTAAACGCAAATGTTGCAATGGACATCAGTCAGACCCATGGAGCGCTTAAAGCAGTCAGTGAGAAAATTGATGAAGTTGCTTTCGGAGCGCTGCAACTGCGGAAGGCAGTGAATGTCAGCGGTCATCTATCCCGCAGCACACAATTCTCTGCGCAAACTGATTGGCTGTTCGGTCCTGTCAGTCTTACTTGCATCGCGTGTAAAATAATGGAATGCATTATCAAAAGACACTTGATGAAATACCTGGAACAGAACAAAATATTGTGCGATGCCCAACACGGCTTTCGTCCAGGACGCTCCTGCCTAACAAGTGTTCTATACTCGCACGAGAAATGGACACGAGCTACCGATAAAGGTTTCCCAGTAGATGTCATATTTTTTGACTTCAAGAAGGCCTTTGACAGTGTCCCACACAGGCTTCTTCTACAAAAGATCTGGGATGTAGGGATTCAAGGGAGAATGTTTAAGTGGATCAGGAGTTTTCTGTCCTCCAGACTACAAAGAGTCGTCGTTAGTAATTCTACCTCGGAATGGGTAAAGGTGGAAAGTGGTGTCCCACAGGGTTCTGTCTTAGCCCCAGTACTCTTCCTGATTTATGTTAATGACTGCATCAGCGAAGTGAATTGCGAGGCTCTCATGTTCGAGGATGACATAAAAATATGGAGTGAAGTCAAGTGTGATGATGACGCAGAGAAGTTGCAGTCGAACATCAACAAACTGTGTGCTTGGTCGAACAGATGGCTTTTGAAGGTTAAGGTGTCCAAATGCGTGGTTTTGCACCTGAACACCGGCCGCAATGCCTCTCCCAAACACCAGTACTATATTGACGGGACGAGGTTAGAAACTGTGGAAAGACACAGAGATCTGGGTGTATGGACGACCACAAATCTATCGCCATCAGAACACTGCAGAAAGATGGTCCAGAAGGCAACTAGCACTCTACACTGGATCAGACGTGCATTTAAAATATTTCCTCCCGAACTCTTCGAAAGACTCTTTGATGTCTTTGTAAGACCTCATCTAGAGTATGGAATGCCAGCAGCTTCACCATGGATGAGGAAGGATATCAACTTACTCGAACAGGTGCAACGCAGAGCGACAAAGATGATCGACGGTCTAAAGCATTTGTCTTATCAGGAGAGGCTGAATTTGCTTGGTCTATTCCCTCTCTCTTATAGACAAATAAACTGCAGTCTACTCTGGACGTTCCGGATAGTTCGCGGCCAGGGTTGTTCATTAAGGGCAGAGGACTTCTTTGAGTTCGCCCGTACAAACCAACTACGCGGCCATGCATTCAAAGTCGGGAATGAGCGCACGCGTTTAGACGGACGAAAATTTTCATTCAGTCAGCGGGTTTTCAGGCCGTGGAACTCGCTTCCAAGCGAGATGGTGACGGCTGATACAGTTTGTGTGTTTAAAAGAAAACTTGCTCGTCTAGTTTTCGACAGAAATCGGCTTGTACAGCATGACTATGCACAGCCAGTTTTGTAAAATCTGTCATATACAATCTTCCGCACTAATTTACAGTGACCCCATGCACTACCTTATGATTACGATTGAACTGTGACCCAATCACATTTTAAATGCCTGCAATTTTATTTTATTTTTTTTAGTACGAATCTGCGAAAGCACTGTACATAAATAGGGTCATCAAGGGCTCTGCCTGTAACCCTTCAATATACATATGCATATACATACATACATATTCGAGGTAATAGGCATTGCCGTTGATGACCCTTTCGAAAACGGTACATATTTAAATAAACATTTAACCAAAACGTTGTGAGTTACATACACATTTACAAGAAAATGTAGTAACGTGAGACTGCATCCCGAGCACCCGTAGTTTTTTTTAAGGTTACGGACCGAGCGCCAAATGGTCCTTTTCGTGCGCGTTGGAAGTGTAAGTGCAAATATATACAGTCAGCACCAAAAATAGTCAGTTGTGTGGTTTACGGGAAAATGTGCATCAAATGTGCAGGAATGCTTTACATAAGTAATGAGATCAGAAAATGAAGTTGATTGCTGACCGCAGATGGTCCAGCTGTGAGAGTCGTTGATTATCAAAAATTAAACGATCCAAATGCCTTTTGAATATGACCATGGTATCAGATGTCAATATTTCACTTGGGAGTGAGTTCCGCGGTCGAACTACACGTTGGATGAAGGAAACCTTTCGTTGGTCCAGGCGCGTACTATCGTCTTTATCTTGTACGGTTGACCGCGCAGGTGACTCTTGTTCATACGCTCAAAGAAATGTTCTGATTTGAGCGAACCGTAATGCTCGCGAATAATGCGGAATGTTCACAACAGGTTGAACATAATTGGTCTAAAGGATAGGGGAACAAATTGATCTGGATCAGCCTTTCTGGGTATGACAATGTCCTAGGACCGTCCACCAATTTCGTTCGCTCGTCGTTACACCTGCTCGAAGACATCGCTGCCTTCCATCATCCAATACATCCATGCTGGCTTTCGGTATTCCAAATCCGGTCTGACGGACGTACCAAATATCTGCAAGACGAATTCAAGGGGAAAGACTATAAAAGCACGCCTAATCCAGTGCATGATGCTGGTTGCTTTTTGGGCGGCCCTCCTGCAGTGTTCAGAGGGCAGCAAGTTTGAACTTGTCCGGATACCTAGGCCTTTATGCGTATCCACTTCTTTTAGTGAGACCCCAGTTAAAGTGTACTGGTGTTTTGGGAAATGCCAGATTCCAAACGCAAGACTACACATTAGGATGCATGAGACGTTGGAAACCAGTAGATGGATCATACAGCCAGCTTATTAACGTCTTATTGCAGTTTCTGCGCGTCGTTGGCACAGCTGAGTGCTCTCCAAATTTTTATATCATCCTCAAGCACGATGGCACCGCAGTAAGGGTCTGCAGCACAGTCGCTCTTATAGATGATGAAGAGGAGGAAACCTAAGACCGAATCCTGTGGAATGCCGCACTCTGCTGATGCCCATTCGAATTTAGTAGCACTAACAATACCGTTTCGCAGTTTTCTTGCCAGGGAGCTTTTAATCCACTTTAGAGTGTTGACCTGGATTCCACACCACTAAATCTTCTGTACGAGGCGCCCATGAAGCACACTACCAAAAGCCTTTTTAATGTCGAAGAAGACAGCATAAACTGGACGTTCCTCGCTTGTGGCTTATTTCCGCGCAGTTTATTGAGGCAAATTGGCGCGAGCTTTAAACAGCGAACGAGAGAGAGAGAGAGCAAGTGGGGAGAGGGAATGGGGAACACGTTTTACTTTGAAAGCACCAATCCCAAATTTTAAGGCAAAGAGGGGGTTCCATTCATTGTGAATATTAATTAATAAATTGCGCATGGGTTAAGAAGGTTTCCGCAAAAATAGCTACTAATAGGGCAGTTTAAGTTTAAGTTTCTGTATTCCTGTCTTTTCACACGCAAGCTGGCTTGCCAGGAATGACAATGCAGAACGCTGATATGCTAATGTACGAAAACAGATATGTCGAAGGCCACGGCGCATGGGGCGGGAGTACTTCGAGGCAGTTAGCTAGAAATAAAGGGCATGGGCAACGTCATCCAGAATTCGACCACCAGATTGCACAACCGCTTTCAAATGTCGTTGTATGATAAGATCAACTAAAAGACATAAGAAACACCTGCGGCAGAACAGAGCATTCGGAGAACTCGTTTTAAAATTAACATATATTTTTGGAGCAAGGCAAAAAACGACAGAAAAACCATAAAAATGAGGGGGAGAATGTAGGCATCTGCGAACCGTCAGATGAAAGGTTGAGGTTTGTGATAGAAACGTAAACGCCAGGTGTTATTAGGGAATTTGCAAACTTTGCTGAAAAGGGTCTCAATATGAAGGGAAAACAAAAGATCTGATGACGAAGTAACGCCATCCGTAACTTTACTTGCAACTTAAAATTGAGTGTGGCTACAGCAGAACTGTGTGGGCTGAAATAGCTTGCAAAGATTCATAATAATATGACAAATTCGGCATGAGTCTCAAGGGCTGGGCTAGATCTCTTATTGCTCTCCATCATTTCAGAACAGAAATACATAATGATTCCTTTTAAGGCTTTGTATCGACGGTGAGATCACAACACCTGCGGGGGGTATTATATGGCTTGACCACTGTGACGGAGGAGAACTTACGCACATCCAGTCCTACCAGTTGAATTTGCAGCTTTAATTGGTGGTCCCAGATGTTGGTCATGGTGAAAAATTCAAAAAAGTCCTCAAAGGCCAAACGCAATCCGCTCCCTCGACAATGCTGAATGCATGTAAGAAATCTCCGTTCCGTTGTTTATAACTCAAAAGGGCGGGTTACATAGAGTAAGGAACCCTGAACCATAACCAGTTCCTTGCTTTTCCCGTAATCTTTCAATAATATGTTGACCTTTAACTGCCTATGATCTCCAGGCTTGTCTGCCGTAGTGCATATGCAATCTCACGAGTGTTACGAAGATATTGGAAAAGAGGTCTTTGTCAACAGTCAAAAATGTTCACTTGATGGCTTACAGTACGAACATATGGCTTCTCGCCAGTTTCGAACAGTGAGTGGATGTTTTTGAGGAGTTCGTTGTCAGCAGGCTTCCCCATCTCGTAAAGTTACACCGACGAGAAATAAGTCTTTTGTCATGGTAGATCTGGCTTGGTTGCCTAGGCGAAGTATGATGCACTTACCTGCGTTCAATCGTACGAGCCAACTTTTTGACCACTCCTTCAACCGATTAAGGCCCACCCCCGGTCTATTTTCGTCGGGAGGGTCCCGTGTTATAGTCCACGCCTTTATGTCGTCAGCAAGTATTGTTGCTTCGCAGTTCAAAGTTCTTGGGCAGCTGTCCGTGAATGGGTCCGGTAGTAAAACCTGGGAAACACCAATTTTGACCTGATGAGGACCTAAGTTTTTTGGCCGACATACATGGAAGATTTTGGTCCAGTCAAAGAGGTTTCCTCTGATATCTATTCTTTCTATTTTGCAAAATAGTTTCTGATATGCACAGTGCGGTACGCCTTTTGTACGTCAATAAAGACGATGTCAACTGCGTGTCTGTCATAAAGAGTTCAGGTCCAGCTATGGAGAGATTGCAGCAAGTTTGCTGTGCAGAATCTCCCTTTCCGGAACCCTTGTTGGCAGTGCGACAGCGAGTTGCAGACTTCCAGGAACCGAACTAGTTCGCTCTTCATGATCCTTTCATAACCTTAATGAGAGTGCACGTCAAGCTCATGGGTCTGTTGATTGTCGTTAACGTCCAGCTACCGCCTCTGTATGGGAGAGTGATATACACCAGGTTTCAGACGATAGTATATGTTTCAATGTCAAATGACATTTGAAAAGCATTGACAGGGGTATAAAAAGCTCGCTGAAAAGTTCTTTGAGAGGCTTGAATGGAATCTCGTCTGATTCTAAAGACTTTGGTTTGTCCAAATTTCTATAAATTCCCTTGGATAGTATATGCCGTAAAGAATATATTTTATATGCTTGTGGTACTACAGTTCTTCTCTGAGTTGGAGAAAGAAACTTCGCCTCGTCTATGCAGACAGGCTGAAAAGTTCACAAAAAATATGCAGACATATACTTGGTTTTAGCAACTTTAAGGATATCGGTAGTCTTGCTTGAGGGGATTTGACGTCTGTTCCCTTTACCTCTCTAGAAATAGCTGTAACGTAATTTCGGATTCTGTGTTGCATTTTTAGCGAATTCTTCTTGAATTCCCGGCGCGTTTTAGCAATCGCATCTTCATATTTTGCAGTTTCCGAGATATTCAAATTACCCAGTGATCCCATATTTACTCAACAACTTGTACTTCCTGCTAAATAATTTCTTTAGGTTGCTATTAAGTCACCCAAGCCGCTTGTTCTGTCTTACACTCGTCAGTGGGCAATGACTGTTGGTTAGATGAAGAAGGATATTCTTGACTTACTCCCGATTTTCCCAGACATTATCCCTAAACATTGAGCTCCAGTCGAGATCGGACAATTCTATCCCTATCTGATGAAGTTGTGTAGCCAAATGTTACGTCTTTTCGATCAAAAGTATGCAAAACGGAGAGTAACAAATAACCCCACGGAAGCGCCACATGGCCACTTCGACCGATGGGCGGCATGGAGATGCCTTATCTATGCTGTTTGATGTTTTCGTAACAACTACACACATTTAGTTAGCCCATTGTCCTTTATGCCTTCTCGTTGGGAACACTGCATGTTATGTGGGAAGCGCCTTTTATCTTTTGTGTAGCAGAACGTTGATGGGAAGATGCGCGCACTTCCGCCCTGTCATTGTCAAGGGACGACAGAATATCTCTGTGCTGATAATCGTCTTATAATCTCTGACGGCAGATGGCTGGGCAAGGTAGATGAGGCGACCGCAAAGTCCCTGAAGTTCGCATGCATGTCCGAGGAAACCTAGTTATTTCATACGAATGGTATCAAAGATGTCTTTCGGTATTTTCGGGGAGCTATAGGGCGTCTAAAAAACTATTGTCCCAAGAAAATGATGAAACCGTTTGCTCAACCTCCGTGTGTCAGTGCGATGATAGAAAGGACCAGAAACAATAAACAAGGCTGTCGAAAAAAGTAATTGCGCCTCCAAGAGTCCGTATAATTTTATGATACAAGTTGGAGCATAAAGAATGCCGCAAGCAATTACAAATTGCTAAAACTTCCCTCGAGCGCTCACCGATCGCAGAAACCATTATATGTCTAAAGAAGTTTACGGGTACATGCTCAGTAGTTATAGAGGATAGTATCAGAAACGTATCCTTTGAACGGTCGCAGGACGTAAAACTACTGCCACGGTTCCTTCAATCGGTGTTTACACTGGAATCCGCTGAAGGCAACCTGGAGTTTGAAATGATCCGGTACGTTATCGTCATTGAAAGCATTGTTTTCCCCCAAAGGAGTAGGACGGCACCTCAGTCCAATTAGACCAACCAAATCTCTTGGACCCGGTGGGATTCTGGGCCTGACACTTGACGGATTGTCGATAGAGCTGACAATGCTTCGCTCATATCTCTTCGACTTGTCAGAGAGAACAAGGAGCTTTTCCTGATAATCGAGATCAGCAGAAATGTGTAGTTCTATTACATAAGAAAGGTAGAAGGACGGCATCAAGCGTCTGTAGACCTGTAAGCTTGGTTTTCATTTCCTGCAAAACAATGGAAACCCTCGTACTGTGAGTCACACAACAGCTTTGCCACGAAAATGGTATTTTACAGAATTTGTAGCATGCATTGTCTTCGGCGGGGACGCCCCAGTCTCTCAAACCTGTTGACTTCACTTGAGATCCGGATCGGTGCTTTTGAGGAGGGCCCCAAGGCAGACGTGTTGTATATTGACTCCCACAAAGCCTTCCACAGCAACCTACATCGACGTCTCTTGCATAAATAGAGCACCTTTGGCACTAAGAGACATCCTCTGAACTGGATAAGGGTATGAATGGTTGGTCGCAAACGGCGCGTCTGTATCGGAGAAGATAAATTGTACTGGGTGCAAGTGATAATTAGTGTTTCTCAAGACTAATTTCCGGGACCCTAATTATTAATTTTCGACGTCTGTAACAGCCTTCGGACTATCAACCATGGTAAGATCGCGTTTTCTGATCGCGTTAACTGGCAAATCACTAACAGCTCAAATTAACAGAAAACAACTTAAAATAATTTGCACCGACTGCGAGTTTTTTTCGGGGGATAGCTCCTGGACTTAAATGTGAAGAAGTGCGCCGTCAACCATCTCCACCCGACTAACTACCCTCCAAGCGACAGCATAAGGGCATATTAACTGAAAGACAAGGCAATCCGAAATCATCACCGCAATACATCAAGACCGCAAAAAAGTCATGGGAGTTCTGTGCGCTAGCGAAATACGTTTGTAGCTTTCGACAGAAAAAATTTCGGCACAGTCTACGGCACCTTCGTTCGACCTCATCTAGAAGGTGGCATACAGGTGTGGGAGTCATGTATCGAGAAATTGCGGCGCAGCGCTACAAGGCTAGTAAAAAGTCTGAAACACGAATCTTCAATGGGAAGACTGGGGTGCATCAGTCTGTTTCCTCTGATTTACAGGAAGTAAAGAAGTGAGGTTGTCTTACTTTACGAAAAAATTCAAGGCCTTCAACAAGGGCTGCGCTTTCAATGCGTGTTTCAGTGGCACCTCTTGCCTTATCTTCGTGGACTTGTAATGAGCTACGCATCAAACTTTAGAGGTTGGACCTTCGTTCTGAATGTATCATGCAACGGGTAGTAGGGTAGTGGAATTATCTACAATCCGTTATGGCGGCGAAGTCCCTACAGATCTTCAAGAAAGGCTTGAATAATAACATGCGTTCCTTGTTTTTACTCGACACTCCGAACCTGAACAAAACACCGCGTCAAATCAAGACACGATTTTTAAAAAACCGAAATATCCAGCTTATGTAAATGCCATTTTCGTAGTAACAACCCCTCAGGGTGCGCATACAGCTGTATATAACACGTGTTATATACATCCAGAAACCCCATTGTCCACACGCCAGTGTACATGTTGGTGTGGATGCCCGGCCAGTAAGCGAAACTGCATGAAGTTGACTTAATTCGGCTGGTACCAGGATGAGCCGCATGAAACTGACGTAGTAAAGAAGGTCGAAGTGAAGATGGGACAACCACATCGTCTGCTAACATGAAACGGGAACCAACCACAAAGGGCCATACTCGACACAGGAAGGGTTGGTGAAGCTCACCGGCGAGAGCAGTAGTTAAACAGCAGATCCGAACGTAGGTGATAGCTTGGCGGGGGACAGGATCCTGTTCAGTAGCACGTTGGATGTCCGCGGCAGGGACAGGGATACCTCATACAGCGTGTAAGAGATGAAAGCGCACATCGTCCCTAATCAGGTAGGCGAGAAAGGGCGTTAGGCTGACCAAATTCGATAATTTGACAGTTGCGTGTCATAATCGTAGCCAAGGGGAGTGGTTGGCCATCGCTGATGTCGGCTGGATAAATAGACAGGAATGCCCTTCTTCGAACCGAAAGCTGGTTGCAACGGTTTATTTTCTGTTAGCAATCTGAAATGACGACTAACAGCAGCCTGTGAAACTTCTTGACGGTAAAAATGATGGCTAATGCCTCTTTCTCCATTTCATCCCTGTTCTCAACAGGAGTTAATGCGCCAGGTCCATGCATTATCACCTTTTCTGGCCCACCGTGAAAAATATGTGAGATAACGGCACTAGCTCTGTGGTTGGCAGCATCCGCAGCGAAAACGATCAGCGGTGTCGGGTCGTAACGCGAGAGCGGCAGCGAACCGCTGACTTAACATCTATATCGGCGCATACTCTTTCAAATATTAGGTGCCACCATTACAATCGTCGATGAAGTTATCTTACTACGACGTCCTCCACAGAGGGCAATTATTCCCAATGCCTGCCAATGTTTCATTGACAAATGGTCTCCCATGTGCGGACTCAAAACCTTTGTTTAAACCGTTCAGAATCCTCGCCCCCGCCCCAATGGTTGCGTCTCGTCACGTGGTGGTCAATCGCATTCCCAGTTTGCGCTGGGTGCGGTCCGTGCCCTGCGGTGAGCGTAATGCTGTGGCGTACACAAACTTGATATTGTGAAAAAAGTCTGTTTAACCGTCATTCAACGTTTAGTAGTGTCCCATCAGTTGCAAAATACCAAGATTTTGCGGGAAATGTTGCGCGTTAGTGAAATCAAGTGTTTTCTAGTGCGTGCAGTACTGGAGCCGGAAAATGTGACGTGAACAACCTCAGGGTAGTCTTGAGAACAGCAGAGGCGAGGCAACTTCTAAGGATCCCAAGGCTAGTCCCCTGTCAGCACAATCCGCCCAACAGTGCCTTCGCTTGACCGGCGCAGGTTGTGCCCTGTCGTTTAATCACATCACTAGCCGCGCACGAACCCGCAAATCTGTGCTGCTAGTGCAGGGCCAGACGGTCTAATAGTGTTACCAAGGGCGGAAGGTGCTTACCTTGATTACCGGGGAACTTCAAAACACTGAACGACAAAATCTCGAGATATATTACATGTGGAAGTATGCCTTCATTTTTCATGTACCAGTCGTCAAAATGCTCCACGATTGCTTCGTTTTGGATACTCGGACTGTAGCCCTGATCAGTGGGCTTCCCGTTATCATGTAGTACCGGAGGCTCCAACGGCTGCACAGGATGGCTCTCATTAACACGAGAAGACCTAAACATGTGTAAGGCTTGACGAATGCGCCATAAGAAAGTGGAAGCGCAATCTTGTAAAAACCAAACCAAGTGATGGGGTTTTTGAGTTATACGACAACAATCAAAACGAGACCTTTGTGAACTAACTGCCGGTCGTTCAACGAACACAGGCAACCGACGAATGGAGGTTCTATCACGCCGTCACTGGTCTCTGGTTTTGACGTTTCACCTAATCACTGCTGATGTTTTGTTAGCCAAGAAAGGGACGCAGCCGCGAACCTCACCGAAGGATACCGAACCAAAGACGGTGACCCGGATTAGTGAAGGCTTACGGGATCGATTAGATAAGGTTTGACACGGACTGTGATAAAGGTTCTCGCCAAAAATTTCTCCAAAATAGGGATACCTTTTGTAACGTTCGTCACAGCCAATAATTAATTTTTTTCTACTGAAAACTCGTCAGTTATGTTTTTCGGCTATTAATTATGTTAACTTAATAAAATAGACGTCCTTTATGGCGCTGTTAAATTGTTCATTATCCTTTAACTTTCTACGTGATTTCCTTGTGTAGGATAAGTTAATGGGTATGTATCCTTTGTTCAGGTTCGTCTTGGTTGTTGCGCGTAGGTGCCATTTCGGCATTCCTTGACTTTCCGATTATATCCAGTCCATATACCGATAGACGGCTTTTATCTCTCCACGTTGCAATTAATTGCGAGAGCTAGCCCGCCAATTGCCAGGCATATGCATCAGCCTGACTTGGGAATGTGAGACTCCGCGTTGAAGCCATCGGCATCACCCAGTCAGCATAACGCCACATTTCACTCACCTGATCTTGCTGAAGTGTTATCATCACACCGACTTCCGCCGTTAGGAAGAGTTAGCTCGACACTTAACGAGATCGAACTTCTAGCTGGCCCTTAATTCAGTTGCTCCCTGTGCGAACGTAAAGTAACTTCCGTCTAGATTTTCGATAATTTACGTTTAGTCAGTTTCTACTGAGAAAGTGATCTATTTATTTTGGCCCGTCAGGGCGTGGCCCCAACTTTCGATCTTCCGGCTTATCGCGCTCGTGCACAGAGGACGGGTAGGAAGAACTGATGTCGCAAGCACTTGTTGTGTAAAGAAGACGCCTATCGTCCTCATGTACCCCGTTGCGTTTTTTTCTGTTTAATCAGTCTTACGGACACTGTCTGAACCGGTGCTGTCGGAATTATGCAGCAATATCGGCCATTTTAGAATACGTTGACCATAAGATTTTAAGGGGTCAAGAAAGTCGATTCTTCGGCAGAACTGTGCATCACGAACTACCTTTTTTTCATGTACACTACATGCCATCCCAGCCCTGGGTACTTGTACTTCTATTTGGTACGGTTGTTTTCATAGCCGTGTGGCAGTCTGATTGTGGATCTCACCTCCAGCGATGGACACCAAGTACCCAAGGTCCAAGAACCACCTCCATGTCTTGATGGGTGGTGTTGAGCCAGATTTTGACTTCAACACCTCTAGGCGGGCGACGGAGTCGGATATAAAACAGACGTACTGAACGCATGGGAGGAGGGACGAAGAATGTAAGGAAGCCATCCCCGCTTCCTTTTGAATGTCTGAGATATTATCGTTATGTCCTCCGAGGTCGGATTGCCTAATTTGAAACGAAGTCGGTATACCTCTAAGGATGGTTCTCAGACAACGGTGAACAGACCTTTAGTTTTCGCTTGCCCTTCACACAGTCCGATATTCACAACCGCACAGGAAAGCCGGCTGAGTGCATTTTCGGTGCACGCGGAATTTTGTAACGATTATGTTATCGCGATAGGCCAACCTACTCATTCAAGTGCTGAGGAAATCGCTGTGAGCAGCATCGACTGGGTCATTGATGTCCATTTCCAGTCCGTTCGGTCACGGCTTCGCTCCGACGTACTTGGAAATGGCAATTTCTTGAGGCTGACGGACTTTTATTTCGAAGGGCGCCTTCTAGTCAAACAATTCTGTCTTAGCCGGAGCCAAGTGGGTGAGGAGGGGTGCGGCTGATGCCGCACAAGTCCTTGTTCTGCGCCCAACACGCGGTAGACATCGTTTGAGACTCTAGCCGTCTGTCAAACAGCTCTTGAGCACCTTAGCCTCCCCAGGGTTGGTGAGTAGGCTTATTGATCTAACGACTCTATTCACCCGCGGCATCAGAGTAGTTAGGATCAGTCGGTCGGTGTTCTTGTGCAAGTTGAACGCCGTCAAGACCGTACAGAACCCTCATAAGTGATGAAGGGCAATGCTAAGACGAATGTGGAATCGGTTCACTCCTCCATTTTTGGGTTTGGTGACTGCAATGGTCGCGTTTTTTCGTCTTTAATCACCACCTACTCCACAGTCCTTACCAAGCGAAGGACAGGAGGTTCTTAACGTACGATAGTGCTTGATCGCATCCATGACGTGTGTGCTGCTGTTCCATCTCCTAGCTTCCATCTGGCAGTTGCTGACGGGACTGCAGACATGGTTAAACGGAGGGTTCGCCGTGCTCGTCTTGGTAGGCCCCACTTTTGTATGGCTTAACTGTAGAAAAAAACTAGAGAAAGAGGAGCGCAAATATGACCAAGGGGATTCGAAATCATCCCCCATGCTCTCACTAAAACGTCAGTTTAAACGTGATAAGCGCAAGGACAGGAAGGCCAAACTGAAGGAAGGAAAGTTGAATTTCAAGCAGATTTGTCAAGACTTCGTCAAGGCGGACCAACCCGAGAAGCCATCATTGCAGCTTCCACAGTCACTGCCAATGGCGAGGGTTTCTGAAGCAACTTTGGCTTATGTCAGCAGCTTTGTGAATACGTGAGCTGTCTGTTCTCTGATTTCCTCCTAGGCTCCTAAATATTTTTGAGAATCAGGCTTCCTTGCATCGAGTACGCGAAGTGTATTGCGATGAGGTCACGGTCACGTTCCAAGCTACACCTTACATTTTGAAGAAGGCAGTTACCAGCGACCTGCCTAACCGACAGACACGAAAGCATTACACTCGTGATGACATGCTGATGTACCTACTAGTTTCATCCAGTCTCCTCAAAGGCTCGTGGCCGTTACCGTCGTGGGCATGGGCTGTCGACTGTCAGACCGGTGAAAAAAACTTGGACAAAAAACGCAGGAAGGAGCTACGTTCACTCCAGAAGTTCCAGTCGGAGAATGAAGGACGAATTAAAAAGTCCATCCGGAAGAGAAGATTTACTTCAATCAGTGAATTTCAAGGCACCCACTCCACCCAATTTTTTGCTGCTAACCCATGGGAGATTCAACAACTGTACGCACGGATCCCCCGGCTCATAGCAATACGTGATGACTCGACCACTACCATCGACATTGTTGAGTCCAGTGTAAGTTATTCTGACCGTCTTCTCACTCCTTGAAGCCGTACGCCGTGTTCTTTAGGTTGAAAACACTTGACCTGGAAATACCGTTACCCATGCCCAATAAGGTAACCCAGATCCCCCAGGTACCGCATGTTCGTTGGGTTCACCGGGCAATAATTCTTCGGCCTCCACCTGTTGACAAAATATGCCACGAGGACGTTTGCGTCATCCCCGTTTCAGAAACAGAACAAGAGGTATGTTTTGCGTCCCCTTTATTTCAACTGATATCTTTAGTAGGACTGCGGCACCTATATCTCTTATGAACTATACAGAAATTACCTGAACAAGTATCCTGCCATAATGGGTTGGGTGCGAAAGTCCTAGAACTTGACGGGCGAATTGTTCATAGGCGAGTTTCTCAAAGGGCCATTTGCCTGCTTTCAGGCCAGTTGCCGGCTGGGAAGCTAGTTTTCTACCCCCAACCTCCCCCTCCCCCGGCCAGGATGTGGCCTCTACATGAAGTATTAAAGGCCGCACACCACGTTATGGAGCTGAATGATTTCAATGTTCCGAGCAATACAGTTGAGGCCCATCTTTTTGTCTGTTAAGCCTGGTCGAGCACAATCGCGCCGCAGACCGTAACCCGTCTGTACTTCAAAAGAAGAGGTGTTCACTGAGAGAGGTCTGACGTTTCGAGTAATGATTTCTCCCACTCATCTTTGGGGACCGGGGGAGGGGTGGAGTCGTAGCCGCAGCTCATATTGCATTATGCGCTCCTCTTGGTGCATAGGCCGCCAATGCGGTCTCTGGGACCCCCGTTTCACCGTAACCCCTGTCGTTCCGACCTTAGTTAACGATAGTCGGCACCGACAACCTACGCATCATGCAAAGTGCACAATTTAGTGAAAGCTGTACACAGGATTCCCATGTGTCATGCTAACACAAGCCCCTGGCTTAGCTCCATCTTATCGACTATTCACTTTCTCGTTTTAGTTCCAATACGTCAATTGTCAGATGAATAAAGCCCTATCATAGGGTATTCTCGTTCTGGTTCTTGCATCCTGATTTGTTCATGCCCTCCCTCCTGTGTGCTTGCTACGGTCCTAGCTACGACACCTAGTATCTGAAGATGGGTAGTCGAAATCACTACTGGAAACGTCAGACCGCAGACTAACCTCACCCAGTGAATGTCTCTACTTCTCCTGGCATGCCGTCTGGGAATCTCATTTTCACTCCTATTGATGTACCTGTACTCCTGTCTAAACCACTTCTATGCTAGCCTAAGCATTCTAGTAGCCGGAATTCATTTTGACATAGTCCAGCTGCGGTTTTATACCCAAAGCCGCTCTGCTTCTGGGCAATGATGGTCTTCAACTGGACCAGTCCTGCCGGGCCTACGGACGTAGAAGATTGAGATGTATTGTGATACATTTACAATAAAGAAGACAATGGAATTTCCCCGCCTCGCCGAGCCATGACCCCCAGAGTCAACTAGGTACTTGTTGTAATGGGCACGGAGACCGACAACAACAACAACTGCCGACAACAGTCCACAAAAGTAGAGGTCACCAAAGTGCACTGGGGAGTTGTAAAACGGAGTGTGGCTGTAGATCGAGTTTTCTGTTTAAGCAATATCGCCAGACGAAGCCGATTCTTTGGAGCGTAGACCAAATATATTTAGGCTGCAAGGCTGTAAGTCAGTGTGCTTGTCGGCCAAAAGGATTTGTATGTGTTGCTGCAAGCAGCCGTAAAAAACTGGTTTTCGCGGAGGGTAGGCTTCGCAATTACGTGTGCTTCTGTTGGGGGCCAACGAACTTTCTCTTCTGGTTATTCCGTGATCCTCGCTATACGGCCTGCACTCCGGTAGTCACCAAACAGTTCCCTCTGCAATTATAGACGTTATGTTAGCAGCTACTGAGACTCCACCCAAGAAAAGAGCAGCACAGCGCGCCATAATATCCAGCAGTCGCTAACGGATTTTGAGCACTCACGGAAATGCACGCAAATAACGTCGTCATCAGCGCATAGAAGAGATTTAAGGTCAGGCCCCCAGTCCCAAAATCTCAAATAACATCCGACTTACGCCGCCATTACACTTCCAGCAGCAACCGAAAACACAGAATATCGGTTACTATCAAGTACTACAAAAACTTTAAATCTAAAATCTAAGATAACGTCAACATACCCGGGCAGTGACGTTAATTCTCCAGTACCTTAGGATGTAGTCGAGGGAGATGCATTTGTGAGGGTGGCTGACTTGTTTTGTGTACCGTTTGTTTGTAGCGTCACAGCAGTGTCATACAGCGGGCGATAGAAGAGTGGACAAGGAGGTCAGCGGAGGATGGCGGTGCTGGTGCTGGTGCTGTTGGATCAGGGTCGGTTAACGTCGTTGCCGTTGGTGCTGCTTGTGGCCGCGACGGTGACGGTGATGGTGTAGAGAGGTCTGCAGTGTTGGAGGATGAATTGGCAGCGAAGATTGCTGAATTGTCGGCTGGTACGGGCATGAACAGGGAGTTTTCTCGACAGTGTTTGGAGGAGTGTGCTTGGAGCTTAGAGTTGGCTTTCGAAGCCTTCCGGCGCGTTCGGGAGGCAGGGATGCTGCCAGAAGTGGCTCTCTCGGGATGACTTGGACTTAGAGCATGTGCGTTGGTGTGCTTTGTTATCTTCCTCCTTATTTGTGCATTTGTAAATAAATGTTCAGATGTGTAATGTGAAGGGAGTAGGGGAGTTGCAGTGTGTAGAGGGGAGCGGAATGAGAATGAGGTGGGTGGGGGATGGGGGAGGGACAGTGGCGGCAACTACACCACCCCCTTGTTTGTTACTGAACAGGGCATCCAAGAAGTTGCAATAGGAAGGGTTGCTGATATTGTGAAGACGGGCTTTGCGTTGCTCCTGGAGAGGGGCAAGCAAGCAATGTCCTCAGTGGCTTCACAATTAGCAGACATCGTTGTGTTTTGGGAAGTTAGGATGAGGTTTATGGAGTGCAGGCCAACATGCAGGTTTGTGCTGAAGCCTGAGCTGCAGTCGTCGCCTGCGAAAGCGAGACCAAGGGAAGACACCGTTTTCGCCCAGGACTGGGATAGCCCGGTCGTGGTATAGCAGAGTGTCACACCGTTGTTGATGATCAGGAAATGAAGTTTATTGCTGACCGCAGATGGTCCAGCAGTGAGAGCCGTTGATTATCAAAAATAAATCGATCGAAATGCCTTTTGAATATGACCATGGTATCAGATGTCAATATTTCACTTGGGAGTGAGTTCCGCGGTCAAACTACACGTTGGCTGAATGAAACCTTTCGTTGGTCCAGGCGCGTACTATCGTCTTTATCTTGTACGGGTGACCGCGCAGGTGACTCTTGTTCATACGCTCAAAGAAATGTTCTGATTTGCGTAAACCGTAACGCTCGCGAATAATGCGGAATGTTCACAACAGGTTGAACATAATGGGTCTAAAGGATAGGGGAACAAACTGATCTGGATCAGCCTTTCTGGGTATGACAATGTCCTAGGATCGTCCACCAATTTTGTTCGCTCGTCGTTGCACCTGCTCGAAGACATCGCTGCCTTCCTTCATCCAATACATCCATGCTGGCTTTCGGTATTCAAAATCCGGTCTGACGAACGTACCAAATATCTGCAAGAAGAATTCAAGGGGAAAGACTATAAAAGCACGCCTAATCCAGTGCATGATGCTGGTTGCTTTTTGGGCGGCCCTTCTGCAGTGTTCAGAGGGCAGCAAGTTTGAACTTGTCCGGATACCTAGGCCTTTATGCGTATCCACTTCTTTTAGTGAGACCCCAGTTATAGTGTACTGGTGTTTTGGGAAACGCCAGATTCCAAACGCAAGACTACACACTGGGATGCATGAGACGTTGGAAGCCAGTAGATGGATCATACAGCCAGCTTATTAACGTCTTATTGCAGTTTCTGCGCGTCGTTGGCACAGCTGAGTGCTCTCCAAACTTTTATATCATCCGCAAGCACGATGGCACCGCAGTAAGGGTCTGCAGCACAGTCGCTCTTATAGATGATGAAGAGGAGGAGACCTAAGACCGAATCCTGTGGAATGCCGCACTCTGCTGATGCCCATTCGAATTTAGTAGCACTAACAATTCCTTTTGGCCGTTTTCTTGCCAGGGAGCGTTTAATCCACTTTAGAGTGTTGACCTGGATTCCACACCACTAAATCTTCTGTACGATGCGCCCATGAAGCACACTACCAAAAGCCTTTTTAATGTCGAAGAAGACAGCATAAACTGGACGTTCCTCGCTTGTGGCTTATTTCCGCGCAGTTTATTGTGGCAAATTGGCGCGAGCTTTAAAGAGCGAACGAGAGAGAGAGAGCAAGTGGGGAGAGGGAATGGGGAACACGTTTTACTTTTAAAGCACCAATCCCAAATTTTAAGGCAAAGAGGGGGTTCCATTCATTGTGAATATTAATTAATAAATTGCGCATGGGTTAAGAAGGTTTCCGCAAAAATAGCTACTAAGAGGGAGTTTAAGTTTAAGTTTCTGTATTCCTGTCTTTTCACATGCAAGCTGGCTTGCCAGGAATGACAATGCAGAACGCTGATATGCTAATGTACGAAAACAGATATGTCGAAGGCCACGGCGCATGGGGCGGGAGTACTTCGAGGCAGTTAGCTAGAAATAAAGGGCATGGGCAACGTCATCCAGAATTCGACCACCAGATTGCACAACCGCTTTCAAATGTCGTTGTATGATAAGATCAACTAAAAGACATAAGAAACACCTGCGGCAGAAGAGAGCATTCGGAGAACTCGTTTTAAAATTAACAAGGCAAAAACGACAGAAAAACCATAAAAATGAGGGGGAGAATGTAGGCATCTGCGAACCGTCAGATGAAAGGTTGAGGTTTGTGATAGAAACGTAAACGCCAGGTGTTACTAGAGAATTTACAAACTTTGCTGAAAAGGATCTCAATATGAAGGGAAAACAACAGATCTGATGACGAAGTAACGCCATCCGTAACTTTATTTGCAACTTAAAATTGAGTGTGGTCTACAGCAGAACTGTGTGGGCTGAAATAGCTTGCAAAGATTCATAATAATATGATAAATTCGGCATGAGTCTCAAGGGCTGGGCTAGATCTCTTATTGCTCTCCATCATTTCGGAACAGAAATTCATAATGATTCCTTTTAAGGCTTTGTATCGACGGTGAGATCACAACATCTGCGGGTGGTATTATATGGCTTGACCACTCTGACGGAGGAGAACTTACGCACATCAAGTCCTACCAGTTGAATTTGCAGCTTTAATTGGTGGTCCCAGAAGTTGGTCATGGTGACAAATTCAAAAAAGTCCTCAAAGGCCAAACGCAGTCCGCTCCCTCGACAATGTTGAATGCATGTAAGAAATCTCCGTTCCGTTGTCTATAACTCAAAAGGGCGGGTTACATAGAGTAAGGAACCCTGAACCATAACCAGTTCGTTGCTTTTCCCCGTAATCTTTCAATAATATGTTGACCTCTAACTGCCTATGATCTCCAGGCTTGTCTGCCGTAGTGCATATGCAGTCTCACGAGTGTTACGAAGATATTGGAAAAGAGGTCTTTGTCAACAGTCAAAAATGTTCTCTTGATGGCTTACAGTACGAACATATGGCTTCTCGCCAGTCTCGAACAATGAGTGGATGTTTTTGAGGAGTTCGTTGTCAGCGGGCTTCCCCATCTCGTAAAGTTACACCGACGAGAAATAAGTCTTTTGTCATGGTAGATCTGGCTTGGTTGCCTAGGCGAAGTATGATGCACTTACCTGCGTTCAATCGTACGAGCCAACTTTTTGACCACTCCTTCAACCGATTAAGGCCCACCCCCGGTCTATTTTCGTCGGGAGGGTCCCGTGTTATAGTCCACGCCTTTATGTCGTCAGCAAGTATTGTTGCTTCGCAGTTCAAAGTTCTTGTGCAGTCGTCCGTGAATGGGTCCGGTAGTAAAACCTGGGAAACACCAATTTTGACCTGATGAGGACATAAGTTTTTTTGGCCGACATACATGGAAGATTTTGGTCCAGTCAAAGAGGTTTCCTCTGATATCTATTCTTTCTATTTTGCAACATAGTTTCTGATATGCACAGTGCCGTACGCCTTTTGTACGTCAATAAAGACGATGTCAACTGCGTCTCTGTCATAAAGAGTTCAGGTCCAGCTATGGAGAGATTGCAGCAAGTTTGTTGTGCAGAATCTCCCTTTCCGGAACCCTTGTTGGCAGTGCGACAGCGAGTTGCAGACTCCCAGGAACCGAACTAGTTCGCTCTTCATGATCCTTTCATAACCTTAATGAGAGTGCACGTCAAGCTCATGGGTCTGTTGATTGTCGTTAACGTCCGGCTACCGCCTCTGTATGGGAGAGAAATATACGCCAGGTTTCAGACGATAGTATATGTTTCAGTGTCAAATGACATTTGAATAGCATTGACAGGGGTATAAAAAGCTCACTGAAAAGTTCTTTGAGAGGCTTGAATGGAATCTCGTCTGATTCTAAAGACTTTGGTTTGTCCAAATTTCTATAAGTTCCCTTGGATAGTATATGCCGTAAAGAATATATTTTATATGCTTGTGGTCCTACAGTTCTTCTCTGAGTTGGAGAAAGAAACTTCGCCTCGTCTATGCAGACGGGCTGAAAAGTTCACAAAAAATATGCAGACATATCCTTGGTTTTAGCAACTTTAAGGATATCGGTAGTCTTGCTTGAGGGGATTTGACGTCTGTTCCCTATACCTCTCTAGAAATAGCTGTAACGTAATTTCGGATTCTGTGTTGCATTTTTAGCGAATTCTTATTGAATTCCCGGCGCGTTTTAGCAATCGCATCTTCATATTTTGCAGTTTCCGAGATATTCAAATTACCCAGTGACCCCATATTTACTCAACAACTTGTACTTCCTGCTAAATAATTTCGTGAGGTTGCTATTAAGTCACCCAAGCCGCTTGTTCTGTCTTACACTCGTCAGTGGGCAATGACTGTTGGTTAGATGAAGAAGGATATTCTTGACTTACTCCCGATTTTCCCAGACATTATCCCTAAACATTGAGCTCCAGTCGAGATCGGACAAGTCTATCCCTATCTGATGAAGTTGTGTAGCCAAATGTTACGTCTTTTCGGTCAAGAGTATGCAAAACGGAGAGTAACAAATAACCCCACGGAAGCGGCACATGGCCACTTCGACCGATGGGCGGCATGGAGATGCCTTGTCTATGCTGTTTGATGTTTTCGTAACAACTACACACAGTTAGTTAGCCCATTGTCCTTTATGCCTTCTCGTTGGGAACACTGCATGTTATGTGGGAAGCGCCTTTAATCTTTTGTGTAGCAGAACGTTGATGGGAGGATGCGCGCACTTCCGCCCTGTCATTGTCAAGGGACGACAGAATATCTCTGTGCTGATAATCTTCTTATAATCTCTGACGGCAGACGGCTGAGCAAGGTAGATGAGGCGACCGCAAAGTCCCTGAAGTTTGCATGCATGTCAGAGGAAACCTAGTTATTTCATACGAATGGTATCAAAGATGTCTTTCGGTATTTTCGGGGAGCTATAGGGCGTCTAAAAAACTATTGTCCCTAGAAAATGATGAAACCGTTTGCTCAACCTCCGTGTGTCAGTGCAATGATAGAAAGGACCAGAAACAATAAACAAGGCTGTAGAAAAACGTAATTGCGCCTCCAAGAGTCCGTATAATTTTTTGATACAAGTTGGAGCATAAAGAATGCCGCAAGCAAATACAAATTGCTAAAACTTCCCTCGAGCGCTCACCGATAGCAGAAACCATTATATGTCTAAAGAAGTTTACGGGTACATCCTCAGTAGTTATAGAGGATAGTATCAGAAACGTATCCTTTGAACGGTCGCAGGACGTAAAACTACTGCCACGGTTCCTTCAATCGGTGTTTACACTGGAATCCGCTGAAGGCAACCTGGAGTTTGAAATGACCCGGTACGTTATCGTCATTGAAAGCATTGTTTTCCCCCAAAGGAGTAGGACGGCACCTCAGTCCAATTAGACCAACCAAATCTCTTGGACCCGGTGGGATTCTTGGCCTGACACTCGACGGATTGTCGATAGAGCTGACAATGCCTCCCTCATGTCTCTTCGACTTGTCAGAGAGAACAAGGAGCTTTTCCTCATAATGGAGATCAGCAGAAATGTGTAGTTCTATTACATAAGAAAGGTAGAAGGACGGCATCAAGCGTCTGTAGACCTGTAAGCTTGGTTTGCATTTCCTGCAAAACAATGGAAATCCTCGTACTGTGAATCACACAACAGCTTTGCCACGAAAATGGTATTTTATAGAATTTGTAGCATGCATTGTCTTCGGCGGGGACGCCCCACTCTCTCAAACCTGCTGACTTCACTTGAGATCCGGACCGGTGCTTTTGAAGAGGGCCCCAAGGCAGACGTGTTGTATATTGACTCCCACAAAGCCTTCCACAGCAACCCACATCGACGTCTCTTGCATAAATAGAGCACCTTTGGTACTAAGAGACATCCTCTGAACTGGATAAGGGTATGAATGGTCGGTCGCAAACGGCGCGTCTGTATCGGAGAAGATAAATTGTATTGGGTGCAAGTGATAATTAGTGTTTCTCAAGACTAATTTCCGGGACCCTAATTATTAATTTTCGACGTCTGTAACAGCCTTCGGACTATCAACCATGGTAAGATCGCGTTTTCGGATCGCGTTAACTGGCAAATCACTAACAGCTCAAATTAACAGAAAACAACTTAAAATAATTTGCACCGACTGCGAGTTTTTTTTGGGGGATAGCTCCTGGACTTAAATGTGAAGAAGTGCGTCGTCAACCATCTCCACCCGACTAACTACCCTCCAAGCGACAGCATAAGGGCATATTAACTGAAAGACAAGGCAATCCGAAATCGTCACCGCAATACATCAAGACCGCAAAAAAGTCATGGGAGTTCTGTGCGCTAGCGAAATACGTTTGTAGCTTTCGACAGAAAAATTTTCGGCACAGTCTACGGCACCTTCGTTCGACCTCATCTAGAAGGTGGCATACAGGTGTGGGAGTCATGTATCGAGAAATTGCGGCGCAGCGCTACAAGGCTAGTAAAAAGTCTGAAACACGAATCTTCAATGGGAAGACTGGGGTGCATCAGTCTGTTTCCTCTGATTTACAGGAAGTAAAGAAGTGGGGTTGTCTTACTTTACGAAAAAATGCATGGCCTTCAACAAGGGTTGCGCTTTCAATGCGTGTTTCAGTGGCACCTCTTGCCTTATCTTCGTGGACTTGTAATGAGCTACGCATCAAAATTTGGAGGTTGGACCTTCGTTCTGAATGTATCATGCAACGGGTAGTAGGGTAGTGGAATTATCTACAATCCGTTATGGCGGCGAAGTCCCTACAGATCTTCAAGAAAGGCTTGAATAATTACATGCGTTCCTTGTTTTTACTCGACACTCCGAACCTGAACAAAACACCGCGTCAAATCAAGACACGAGTTTTTAAAAAACCGAAATATCCAGCTTATGTAAATGCCATTTTCGTAGTAACAATCCCTCAGGGTGCGCTTACAGCTGTATATAACACGTGTTATATACATCCAGAAACCCCATTGTCCACACGCCAGTGTACATGTTGGTGTGGATGCCCGGCCAGTAAGCGAAACTGCATGAAGTTGACTTAATTCGGCTGGTACCAGGATGAGCCGTATGAAACTGACGTAGTAAAGCAGGTCAAAGTGAAGATGGGACAACCACATCGTCTGCTAACATGAAACGGGAACCAACCACAAAGGGCCATACTCGACACAGGAAGGGTTGGTGAAGCTCACCGGCGAGAGCAGTAGTTAAACAGCAGATCCGAACGTAGATGATAGCTTGGCGGGGGACAGGATCCTGTTCAGTAGCACGTTGGATGTCCGCGGCAGGGACAGGGATACCTCATACAGCGTGTAATAGATGACAGCGCACATCGTCCCTAATCAAAGTAGCAGCAATCAAGGTGTCTTCCTGAAGTTTTTGATGATTCTAGGTAGGCGAGAAAGGGCGTTAGGCTGACCAAATTCGATAATTTGACAGTTGCGTGTCATTATCGTAGCCAAGGGGAGTGGTTGGCCATCGCTGATGTCGGCTGGATGAATAGACAGGAATGCCCTTCTTCAAACGGAAAGCTGGTTGCAACGGTTTATTTTCTCTTAGCAATCTGAAATGACGACTTACAGCAGCCTGTGAAACTTCTTGACGGTAAAGATGATGGCTAATGCCTCTTTCTCCATTTCAGCCCAGTTCTCAACAGGAGTTAATGCGCCAGGTCCATGCATTATCACCTTTTCTGGCCCACCGTGAAAAATATGTGAGATTACGGCACTAGCTCTGTGGTTGGCAGCATCCGCAGCGAAAACGATCAGCGGTGTCGGGTCGTAGTGCGAGAGCGGCAGCGAACCGCTGACTTAACATCTATATCGGCGTATACTCTTTCAAATATTAGGTGCCACCATTACAATCGTCGATGAAGTTATCTTACTACGACGTCCTCCACAGAGGGCAATTATTCCCAATGCCTGCCAATGTTTCACTGACAAATGGTCTCCCATGTGCGGACTCAAAACCTTTGTTTAAACCGTTCAGTCGCCCCCGTCCCAATGGTTGCGTCTCGTCACGTGGTGGTCAATCGCATTCCCAGTTTGCGCTGGGTGCGGTCCGTGCCCTGCGGTGAGCGTAATGCTGTGGCGTACACAAACTTGATATTGTGAAAAAATCTGTTTAACCGTCATCCGACGTTTGGTACGGTCCCATCAGTTGCAAAATACGAAGATTTTGCGGGAAATGTTGCGCGTTAGTGAAGTCAAGTGTTTTCTAGTGCGTGCAGTACTGGAGCCGGAAAATGTGACGTGAACAACCTCAGGGTAGTCTTGAGAACAGCAGAGGCGAGGCAACTTCTAAGGATCCCAAGGCTAGTCCCCTGTCGGCACAATCCGCCCAACAGTGCCTTCGCTTGACCGGCGCAGGTTGTGCCCTGTCGTTTAATCACATCACTAGCCGCGCACGAACCCGCAAATCTGTGCTGCTAGTGCATGACCAGACGGTCTAATAGTGTTACCAAGGGCGGAAGCATCTTACGTTGATTACCGGGGAACTTCAAAACACTGAACGACGAAATCTCGAGATATATTACATGTGGAAGTATGCCTTCATTTTTCATGTACCAGTCGTCAAAATGCTCCACGATTGCTTCGTTTTGGATACTCGGACTATAGCATGTACGCTGTCGCCCTGATCAGTGGGCCTCCTGTTATCATGTAGTACCGGAGGCTCCAACGGCTGCACAGGATGGCTCTCATTAACACGAGAAGACCTAAACATGTGCAAGGCTTGACGAATGCGCCATAAGAAAGTGGAAGCGCAATCTTGTAAAAACCAAACCAAGTGATGGGTTTTTTGAGTTATACGATAACAATCAAAACGAGACCCTCGTGAACTAACTGCCGATCGTTCAACGAACACAGGCAGCCGACGAATGGAGGTTCTATCACGCCGTCACTGGTCTCTGGTTTTGACGTTTCACCTAATCACTGCTGATGTTTTGTTAGCCAAAAAAGGGACGCAGCCGCGAACCTCACCGAAGGATACCGAACCAAAGACGGTGGCCCGGATTAGTGAAGGCTTACGGGATCGATTAGATAAGGTCTGACACGGACTGTGATAAAGGTTCTCGCCGAAAATTTCTCCAAAATAGGGATACTTTTTGTAACGTTCGTCACAGCCAATATTTAATTTTTTCTACTGAAAACTCGTCAGTTATGTTTTTCGGCTATTAATTATGTTAACTTAATAAAATAGACGTCCTTTATGGCGCTGTTAAATTGTTCATTATCCTTTAACTTTCTACGTGATTTCCTTGTGTAGGATAAGTTAATGGGTATGTATCCTTTGTTCAGGTTCGTCTTGGTTGTTGCGCGTAGGTGCCATTTCGGCATTCCTTGACTTTCCGATTACATCCAGTCCATATACCGATAGACGGCTTTTATCTCTCCGCGTTGCAATTAATTGCGAGAGCTAGCCCGCCAATTGCCAGGCATATGCATCAGCCTGACTTGGGAATGTGAGACTCCGCGTTGAAGCCATCGGCATCACCCAGTCAGCGTAACGCCACATTTCACTCGCCTGATCTTGCTGAAGTGTTATCATCACACCGACTTCCGCCGTTAGGAAGAGTTAGCTCGACACTTAACGAGATCGAAATTCTAGCTGGCCCTTAATTCAGTTGCTCCCCGTGCGAACATAAAGTAACTTCCGTCTAGATTTTCGATAATTTACGTTTAGTCTGTTTCTACTGAGAAAATGATCTATTTATGTTGGCCCGTCAGGACGTGGCCCCAACTTTCGATCTTCCGGCTTATCGCGCTCGTGCACAGAGGACGGGTAGAATGAACTGATGTCGCAAGCACTTGTTGTATAAAAAAGACGTCTATCGTCCTCATGTACCCCGTTGCGTTTTTTTCTGTTTAATCAGTCTTACGGACACTGTCTGAACCGGTACTGTCGGAATTATGCAGCAATATTGGTCATATTAGAATACGTTGACCATAAGATTTGAAGGGGTCAAGAAAGTCGATTCTTCTGCAGAACTGTGCATCACGAACTACTTATTTTCATGTACACTTGTTTGCATCCCATTCCAGCCCTGGATACTTGTACTTGTATTTGGTATGGTTGTGTTCATAGCCGTGTCGCAGTCTGATGGCGGATCTCTTCTCCGGCGACAGACACCAAGTACCCAATGTCCAAAAACCACCTCCATGTCTTGATGGGTGGTGTTGAACCAGTTTTTGACTCCGAGATAGTCCGCGCTCGCTGCGACAACATCGCGAGGATAACTCGGGCCATCCAAGAAAGACGACTGAGGTGGTTCGGGCATGTTCTTCGTCGCCCACCTCAGGAGGTCCGTGTTACTGCCCTCGATCCGGCACCGTTGCCCCATTGGAGGCGTCGAAGAGGGGGTCAGTTCAAAACCTGGCTCGACACTGCCCGTCAAGACATGGAGGTGGTTCTTGGACCTTCGGTATTCGGTCTCCGTCGTTGGCGAAGGGAATGGGTTGAGCTGTCTAGATCTGCTGCCGCGGATCGTCACGCGTGGAGAGGTACAATTCGGGACATCATCGAGGCCGGCTAGATCAGGCATGATCGCAGCCGTATCAAGTACAAGTAAGTACAAGTTCGACACCTCAAGGCGGGCGACGGAGTCGGATATAAAACAGACGTACTAAACGCATGGGAGGAGGGACGAAGAATGTAGGGAAGCCATCCCGCTTCCTTTTGAATGTCTGATATATTCTCGTGATGTCCTCTGAGTTCGGACTGCCTACGTTGAAACGAAGTCGGTATACCTCTAAGGATGGTTCTCAGACAACGGTGACCAGATCTTTAGTTTTCGTTTGCTTTTCACAGTCTGGTAATCACAACCGCACAGGAAAGCCGGCTGGGTGCATTTTCGGTGCACGCAGAATTTTGTAACAATTATGTTATCGCGATAGGCCAACCTACTCATTCAAGTGCTGACGAAATCGCTGTGAGCAGCATGATGTCATGATGTCCATTTCCAGTCCGTTCGGTCACGGCTTCGCTCCGACGTACTTGGAAGTGGCAACTTCTTGAGGCTGACGGACTTTTATTTCGAAGGGCGCCTTCTAGTCAAACAATTCTGTCTTAGCCGGAGCCAAGTGGGTGAGGGAGGGTGCGGCTGATGCCGCACAAGTCCTTGTCCTGCGCCCAACACGCGGTAGACATCGTTCGAGACTCTAGCCGTCTGTCAAACAGTTCTTGAGCACCTTAGCCTCCCCAGGGTTGGTGAGTAGGCTTATTGATCTAACGACTCTATTCACCCGCGGCATCAGAGTAGTTAGGATCAGTCGGTCGGTGTTCTTGTGCAAGTTGAACGCCGTCAAGACCGTACAGAACCCTCATAAGTGATGAAAGGCAATGCTAAGACGAATGTGGAATCGGTTCACTCCTCCATTTTTGGGTTTGGTGACTGCAATGGTCGCGTTTTTTCGTCTTTAATCACCACCTACTCCACAGTCCTTACCAAGCGAAGGACAGGAGGTTCTTAACGTACGATAGTGCTTGATCGCATCCATGACGTGTGTGCTGCTGTTCCATCTCCTAGCTTCCATCTGGCAGTTGCTGACGGGACTGCAGACATGGTTAAACGGAGGGTTCGCCGTGCTCGTCTTGGTAGGCCCCGCTTTTGTATGGCTTAACTGTAGAAAAAAACTAGAGAAAGAGGAGCGCAAATATGACCAAGGGGATTCGAAATCATCCCCCATGCTCTCACTAAAACGTCAGTTTAAACGTGATAAGCGCAAGGACAGGAAGGCCAAACTGAAGGAAGGAAAGTTGAATTTCAAGCAGATTTGTCAAGACTTCGTCAAGGCGGACCAACCAGAGAAGCCATCATTGCAGCTTCCACAGTCACTGCCAATGGCGAGGGTTTCTGAAGCAACTTTGGCTTATGTCAGCAGCTTTGTGAATACGTGAGCTGTCTGTTCTCTGATTTCCTCCTAGGCTCCTAGATATTTTTGAGAATCAGGCTTCCTTGCATCGAGTACGTGAAGTGTATTGCGATGAGGTCACGGTCACGTTCCAAGCTGCACCTTACATTTTGAAGAAGGCAATTACCAGCGACCTGCCTAACCGACAGACGCGAAAGCATTACACTCGTGATGACATGCTGATGTACCTACTAGTTTCATCCAGTCTCCTCAAAGGCTCGTGGCCGTTACCGTCGTGGGCATGGGCTGTCGACTGTCAGACCGGTGAAAAAAACTTGGACAAAAAACGCAGGAAGGAGCTACGTTCACTCCAGAAGTTCCAGTCGGAGAATGAAGGACGAATTAAAAAGTCCATCCGGAAGAGAAGATTTACTTCAATCAGTGAATTTCAAGGCACCCACTCCACCCAATTTTTTGCTGCTAACCCATGGGAGATTCAACAACTGTACGCACGGATCCCCCGGCTCATAGCAATACGTGATGACTCGACCACTACCATCGACATTGTTGAGTCCAGTGTAAGTTATTCTGACCGTCTTCTCACTCCTTGAAGCCGTACGCCGTGTTCTTTAGGTTGAAAACACTTGCCCTGGAAATACCGTTACCCATGCCCAATAAGGTAACCCAGATCCCCCAGGTACCGCATGTTCGTTGGGTTCACCGGGCAATAATTCTTCGGCCTCCACCTGTTGACAAAATATGCCACGAGGACGTTTGCGTCATCCCCGTTTCAGAAACAGAACAAGAGGTATGTTTTGCGTCCCCTTTATTTCAACTGATATCTTTAGTAGGACTGCGGCACCTATATCTCTTATGAACTATACAGAAATTACCTGAACAAGTATCCTGCCATAATGGGTAGGGTGCGAAAGTCCTAGAACTTGACGGGCGAATTGTTCTTAGGCGAGTTTCTCAAAGGACCATTTGCCTGCTTTCAGGCCAGTTGCCGGCTGGGAAGCTAGTTTTCTACCCCAAACCTCCCCCTCCCCCCGACCAGGATGTGGCCTGTACATGACGTATTAAAGGCCGCACACCACGTTAGGGAGCTGAATGATTTCAATGTTCCGAGCAATACAGTTGAGGCCCATCCTTTTGTCTGTTAAGCCTGGTCGAGCACAATCGCGCCGCAGACCGCCTGTACTTCAAAAGAAGAGGCGTTCACTGAGAGAGGTCTGACGTTTCGAGTAATGATTTCTCCCACTCATCTTTTGGGACCGGGGGAGGGGTTGAGTCGTAGCCGCAGCTCATATTGCATTATGCGCTCCTCTTGGTGCATAGGCCGCCAATGCGGACTGTGGGACCCCCGTTTCACCGTAACCCATGTCGTTCCGACCTTAGTTAACGATAGTCGGCACCGACAACCTACGCATCATGCAAAGTGCACAATTTAATGAAAGCTGTGCACAAGATTCCCACGTGTCATGCTAACACAATCCCCTGGCTTAGTTCCATCTTATCGACTATTCACTTCCTCGTTTTAGTTCCAGTACGTCAATTGTCAGATGAATAAAGCCCTATCATAGGGTATTCTCGTTCTGGTTCTTGCATCCTGATCTGTTCATGCTCTCCCTCTCGTGGGCTTGCTACGGTCCTAGCTACGATACCCAGTATCTGAAGGTGGGTAGTCGAAATCACTACTGGAAATGTCAGACCTCAGACTAACCCCACCCAGTGAATGCCTCTAATTCTCTTAGCATGCCGTCTGGGAATCTCATTTTCACTCCTATTGATGTACCTGCACTCCTGTCTAAACCACTTCTATGCTAGCCTAAGCATTCTAGTAGCCGGAATCCATTATGACATAGTCCAGCTGCGGATTTATACCCAAAGCCGCTTTACTTCCGGGCAATGAGGGTCTTCAAATGTACCGGTCCTGCCGGGCATATGGACGTAGAAGATTGAGTTGTATTTTGATGTATTTACACTAACGACGACAATTGACTTCCCCCGCCTCGCCGAGCCATGACGCCCAGAGTCAACTAGATACTCGTTGTAATGGGCACGGAGACCGACAACAACAACTGCCGACAACAGTCCTCAGAAAAGTAGTGGTCACCAAAGTGCACTGGGGAATTGTAAAACGGTGGTCACCAGACAATTCTATCTGCAATTATAGACGTTACGTTAACAGCTACTGAGACTCTACACCCAAGAAAAGAGCAGCACAGCGCGCCATAAAATACAACCGTTGCTAACGGATTTTGAGCACTCACGGAAATGCACTCAACTACCGTCGTTATCAGCGCCCATTGTGTAGCTTCCCAAACGCAAGGAAGAGATTTAAGGTCAGGCCTCCAGTCCCACAATATCATATAACATCCGACTAACGCCGCCATTAAACATTCAGCAGAAACCGAAAACAAACAATATCGCTTTCCATCAAGTACTCCGAAAACTTTCAAAATAAACACTCCAAGATAACGACAACAAATCGGGTAGTGACGTCGATTCTGCAGTACCTTAGGATGTAGTCGAGGGAGATGCATTTATGAGGGTGGTTGACTTGTTTTGTGTACCGTTTGTTTGTA